CAATAGATCAATGGGACTAAATAAAGCATGTGGAAACAATGAAAAGAGGAATTTCATAAGATACATGATGGTGATTCATAGTAGGAAAACAGGATGCCTCATTTAAGTACAAATAAAGAGGCTTGTGTCTCTGTTTGAGACATGACCCTCAAAGACCCACTAATCACTGATCATTTGTGGAGAAGACTGGTGGGAGGCAGGTAAACGTTCACTATGGGATTTGAGCTCATTTGTGCAGAGGTGTTAATAAGGTGGAATGAGTGCTGGCACAAAGTTTGCCGCAGGGTAGACACTTCAGAAAGTGAATGTGAGTACCACTGACTCACAGCAAACAAACCTAGACTAGGTCATTAAATAGTATTAAACAGCATGATATATAAAAAGAGGAAACACATGGAGAGATTTCATAACCTTCATTATTGAACACAATGCCTGGGGCATGATTACAGGAAAGCAGATACGTTACCCCAAAATACGCCTCCATCACATAAAAATTACTTTGAACTGAAGGCAATTAAGCACCAATAAACTCAGAAAAGCCCCTCTCCTCTTTCTCTGCGTTAAGGTAGGAAATAAATTCTCTTTTGCTGCAGACAGAGTCTTAACCAGCCCAAAGATGGTACCAGAAAATCAGCAAACTGTGTTAAATTAATCCTCATGTTCCTAGTTAAGGAAGATAATGTCTACCAGGCCCTGGTTGAACTACCACCAGTCCAAACTCTATTGTCTTGCCAATTCTTCACAAATTTTTTGTTTCTTATTTTAAAGATATAAAGCTTCCTGTTCTAGTCACTTCAGGTCTTCATTTTCTTCTGAAGGCTCCCATGAATGTGAAAAAATTCAATAAAATTTGTACGCTTTCCTCTTGTTAATCTGTCTACTGTCACTTTAATTCTTACACACAGTCAGGAACCCAAAGAGGGTAGAGGATAATTTTTCTGACCATACAGAATATACACTCAATAAATATCTACTGAACAAATTGACCTGAAAACCGGGCAGTTCAAACAAATTTTTACTGATTTCTCAGTCA